AAGTCTTCAGATATATTTTTTATGTAAAAAGGTGCTTGACTACTTCTCAAATTATTAATACTTAAAAAATAAAAATGCAAAGTTTGCCAATATGGAATATTTAAGAATGAGAAACATGTTCTTTGACTAATTACCATCCTGATATTGGGTAAAGTCATCAGAACTGTGTGTGTGTGTATGCGTACATGTAAGTAAAAATTTTCACTTTATTTCTCTCCCACTTAAAGAAGTTAATTATTTGTTTTGTTTGATGCTACTTAATTATCACTGACCATTTCCTTCGCCTCCTTATATAACTTGGCCAAAGCTTGATGTGATTATGCATATGGAATGATAGCATAACTTTTCTTGGATTAAATTATGAGCTAGCACTATACAATTTCAATGAAAGTACTCTTTTCCTTCAAAGACATTGTATTTAAATTTTCTTACACCATGTCCTTTAAATTAATCAGCTCTATTTAAGAAAACCAAGGTAGAAAAATTCAACAATTTTCCCAGGTTCATAAAGTGTGATTGTAGAATTAAAATAATAGAATTATAGAGTTGCAAGAGAACTTGAAGAGACCACCCATGTTTCTAGCCAAACGTGTCCTTTTCAGTGAGGGAGAAAATTGAAGTCTGAAACAGTTAAGTGACTTGCTCAAGATTATATGCAGCCAGGCTCAGTGGCTCAGCCTGTAATCCCGTGTCTTTGGGAGGCTGAGGTGAGTGGATTGCCTGAGCCCGCGGGTTCGAGACCCGCCTGGGCAGGCGAGACCTCATCTCTACACTAAAATAAAAAAATTAGCCGGGCGTGGTAGCGCGGGCCTGTAATTCCGGCTACTCGGAAGGCTGAGGCGGAAGGATCGCCGGAGCCCAGCAGGTTGAGGCTGCGGTGGCCGGGAGCGGCCACTGCACTCCAGTCTGGGCGACAGAGTGAGACTCCAACTCAAAAAAAAAAAGATTATATGCTAGGTAGTTATAATATTATATACATTATAAATTTATATACTAGGTAACAGAACCAGAAGGGAAATTACATTGCCCAAATGCTAGTCCAGAACTCTTTCTGCTCTACCTCAGGAACTTATTTAGAATTTGGAGTTATTGTACTCATCTAATTTAGCTGGAGAAAGTAAGCCTAGCCCCAGAAAACAACTCTCGAATATTTGAAGGAACTTGTGATCAAGTGTAAATTAGAATAGTACTGGGAAGAACTGATGAAGAAACTACCAGAGAAGGAAATATTCATTATGGAATCTGAGTCAAAATTTGGAGAATGAGAGGAGACAAGTTGTTACAAGTGTGAGAATAACCAAGTGTGCATACTCATGTGAGAGAGTGAAGAAATTGTTGGGGAATAGGAATGGAGTTAGAAGGCAGAATCTACTTGGCTCAGAAAATCCATGTTGGGGACTAACTAGAATCCTGCTTGGTGAGAAAGGAACCGGAGGCAAATAAAGAGCAGAGAAGGGAAGGGGTCAGCAAGGATTTATTAGGCACAGTTGGTAGCGAGTGAAAGGTTTGCTAGGTTCTTTTTTTTTTTTTTAATCAATATTTTTTTTT